GAATCTTAATGAAAGCTGTAGAGTTAAGTCCTTTCAGTGCAATTGCTAAAAAGTCACAGGAATGACACCAGAATGCCAAGTAGGAACTGGCTTTTTCCCCAGCGGTTAATTAGAGCAAAAGTCCTAATCCTGTAGCAAGATTGCTTTGCCAAACAGAGTGGCAGAACAAGGACTTAAAACAAGGCCTAATTTTGTTTTTCCTTATTTGAGGCAATAATGGCCATGCCTTTCTTTCTTCTTCTTGCTCCTTCTTCTTCCTCCCTGTCTCTCTGTCTCTCCCCCATTTCTGTCCCTATTTCTCTCCACCCCTCCTCTTTCTCCCTCTCCCTCTTTCTTTCTCTTTCTCTCCCCCACTATCAAGGCAGAGCTCACAAGTCTGCACTCCCGTTAGAGCTGGAATTTAGCAGTAGTAATTAATGAAGCTAATATTAATGAAATACACACTGTGACAGGCATTATGCTGAATAATCTCCTTGGTTTATTTCACTTAGTACTGGAACCTTGTGAAGAAATCAGTTTCTCCATTTTTCAGATGCAACTCAAGCTCTGATAGGATGAGACATACTTGTGACCAAAGATATGCAGCTTGTAAGCTTGTAAGTGAACAGGGCCCTGAGACAGGCTGAGCAGACTCCACAGATGGCCACAGGTGCAAGAATAGTTCATAAATTTTGTTTTAATGGCCAATAGAAACCAAAGGAAGGATAGCCACTAGACATGAATAGGCAGGTTCATATTCAATAGCATGAGAAAAAAGCTTATAAATTTAAAGAAGAATATATGGGTAATGCACACATATACTTAGGAAAAGCTCGGGTTTTTTGTTTGTTTTTTTTTTAAAAATCGGCTTTTACAAAAAAAGAGAGAGAGAAGAACATCCAGATTGGTGATGGAAAATGGATGGTTTTAATTCTCTTTTGTATCTTCAGTTTTTCAGAGATAATCATGTATAACATGTAACTAGAAAAAGAACATGTTATTTGAAAGAGAAAAGAAGCTTTGACAAGGAAGATGAGCAGGAGGCTATTTGTGTGAGAATTCTCCAGAGAGATGGAACAAAGGCTGTGTGTGTGTGTGTGTGTGTGTGTGTGTGTGTGTGTGTGTGTACATATGTAGATATTCAGTCATAATGACAGTGTTTTGGTCAACAAGGAATGACCTACAAAAGAGTCCTAGTGGCAAAACTGGTTAATCACTTGTAGAAAACTAAAGCTAGATCCTTATATATCAACTCCAAATGGATCAAAGACCTCAGAGTCAAAGCAGACACTCTGAAATCATTACAGGATGGAATAGGAGAAACCCTAGGTCTCCTTGGCACAGGCCGAAATTTTCTTAATAGAGACCCAGAAACACAACAAATCAAAGAAAGGTTGGACAAACGGGATTGCATGAAATTGCAGAGCTTCTGCATGGCAAAGGACATAGCTAGCAAGATCAATAGAAAGCCTACAGATTGGGAGAAGATCTTCACTAGCCACACAACAGACAAGGGTATCATATCTAAAATGTATCTGGAACTCAAAAAATTAAAGGCTAATAGACACATGAAGAAATGCTCAACCTCCCTAGCCATAAAAGAAATGCAAATCAAAACAACACTGAGATACCACCTCACCCCACTTAGAATGGCTATAATCAAGAACTCTAATAACATCAGATGCTGGAGGGGATGTGGACAGAAGGGAACCCTACTGCATTGTTGGTGGGAGTGTAAACCTGTTCAACCACTTTGGAAAGTAGTATGGAGGTTCCTCAAAAGACTCCACATAGAGCTCCCCTATGATCCAGCAATCCTACTTTTGGGAATCTACCCAAATGATCACAAACAAGACCATACTAAAGCTACCAGTACAACTATGTTTATTGCAGCCTTATTTACCATAGCTAAGATATGGAAGCAACCCAGATGCCCCTCAGTAGATGAATGGATCAAGAAAATGTATATATGCACAATGGAATTCTATGCCTCCATCAGAAAGAATGACATTGCCCCAGTTGTTAGGAAATGGAAAGATTTGGAAAAAATCATATTAAGTGAAGTAAGTCAGGCCCAAAGAAACATAGGTCCCATGGTTTCCCTTATTTGCAATAACTCGTATATGTCTGAGACAAGCAGAAAACTGGTCAGATAAGTTGATGCTAGGTGAAATGAACCCCAAGATAAGTATTCAAATGTTTTTTCTTTCATGCAATTGTTTATAACATATTTACAAGATGATTTCTATGTTGCTTTATATGTCCCTCCCCCATGGTATAACCTCTGCTTTTATTGTATTTGATGTTGATATAATTTGTGGAGGGGAAGGGAAAAAAACAAATCATTTAAATACTGATACAGGTGTACCCATTGCAACAATGAGATGTACCAGTCATTATGTCAAAAAACGAACTTTACAACTTTGACGGGCGGAGGTTGGGGATGTGGAGGGGGAGATGGGAAGGGTTGGGAAGGGGAAACAAAGGAGGAGTCAACAATGCTTGATAAGAAATGTACTCATTACCTTGCCCATGTAATTGTAACCCCTCAGTATGGTATTTTCACAATGAAAAGAAAGAGTCCTAGTTCCATGAAATTATATTACCTAGTGGTATTGCCCAGTGTAATCCTGCCTGGAGTAGATGAGGTAAGACTGTAGCATCTTCCCTCTGTATGTCACATTAAGGCAGTCACAAAGTGATGAAATTACCTAATTCTGCATTTCTCGAAGGTATCTCTGCCAGTCACTAAGTGACATGTGCCTATAGAGGAACACTTAGTTTAAGGAATTGTTTCATATAATCGTGGTGACTTACAAGGTTAACTATAGAGTGACCAGGAGGCTGCAGGCTCAGTTAAGAGCTGCTGCTATAACTTGAGTCCAAGGGAGTCAACATTCCATTTTTATGAGAGAAAGTCTTTCTTTTTGTAAATGAGGTTTTCAACTGACTAGATAAAGCCCACGCAGATGGAGGGTAATCTGTTCAACTCTAAGTTTATTGATTCAAATGTTCATTTCTCCTAAGAGACAGAGATAGAGATGGAGACAGAAGGAAAGAAGGAAGGGAGGGAGGGAGGGAGGGAGGGAGGGAGGGAGGGAAAAACGACAAACCAGACAGACTAATATTGTAGATTTTCTCTCAAATGCAGAATGTACACCTGTCACAAATAATAGCATGAGCATAAAAGTAGGACCATTTAGTGGGAACTAGCAGGTATAAGAAGAAAGTGATTGAGATGAACAAGATTGAAATACACTATATATATTATGAACAGAAAATAATGGAACCCATTAAACTTTATCCTAAAAAATAAGGAAGGAGGGAAAAATCGCATAAATAATAGTAATAGAGGGGATGAGTATGTCCAAAATAAATTGTATGCATGTATGGAAACATCACAATGAAACACTTTATACAACTAAAATGCACCGACAGACAGACAGACAGACAGACAGACAGACAGACAGACAGACAGACAGACAGACAGATAGATAGATAGATAGATATATAGATAGATAGTGGAAGATCTTGAGTAGGACCTGATTTGCATCTTTGGTTGTCATGGCACTAGCAAATTAATTTAAGCGCTGTGCAAGTCTGGTTGGTAAATCTCCTCTTTGGCATCTGCTGGCTAGTCTCACAGGTCTTAGAAGGCAGTGCATTGTTATATTTTTGACAATGGGCTCACTTCACCAAAGCGCTTCATTTGGAAGACATTTTAAAGCAGCCTGAAGATGTGCAGCTTTGATCGGTGGCACAATGTAACTTGGGTTTGACAACAAAATTCCTTCCCACATGGAAACATTTCCACACTTCTGTTTTTCAACATGTTCCTTTTTCAGAGCGTCAGTTTCTTTTGAGAATTGATTACCTTCTCCCACATTACCTTACACCATCATCTTGAGTTGGGAGAAACAAATCAAGCAGGCTAGGTTTTCCTATTCAAATATTAGCTAAAGGGATAGTAAACAGTAATAGGAACTCATTATACAAAAGTCAGAAATTTTAGAATATTGGAGAAATTTTTTGTCAGAGAATAGAAAGGATAACTCATCTTTGACAACCGCCAAGCATTTTGAATAATAACTATTGAAAAATAACCATTGAAATTTGCATGATGGAAACTCTTCTACCTGCTCTGTTTCAAAGTATTATAGTCTGCTATTTGAATCTCTACATAAATGTTATGTATCAACTGCAAACTAAAATTATTGGGCATACCCTGGGGGGGGGGGTAAGTGATAATAACTCTGCTTTTGTTCATAATGTTCCCTGACTAGGCCAGTCTGACACGGAACCCGTTAGACTGCTGGGTTTGAATTTTGGTAAATCTCCAAGATTAAGAACTGAAAGCTGTGAATAAAAGTCCTCTGTTTTCTTCCTCTAGCTCCATAGATTGCCTGGCTGGGGTATGAGCCCTGGGTTTGAAAGAACTCTGCTCTGAGGACTAGAAGGTCAAGGAAGAGTTTTAAAGAGGAAGTGACACTTGTGTCACTTGTGTTTAGAGGGAGCATCTGCTCCCCAGGTCCCACTGGGCCATGAGAGGGCTAGCTGAGACACAGATGCCAGACTAAGGCATGAGCCCTTATGAGGCCTGAGGTTAACTTGAACAAGAATGCCCACCAGGGAGCCACCAAGAAGAAAACAATGAAGGTTTCTCTCTTTTTTTTTTTTGTTTTTCTTTTTCTTCTGCAAATCAAAAGGGCAAGAAGATATAAAATCAGTCATCTGCTCCCAGGTTTATTCACTAGTGCGGATGAAAGATTCTCGTTCCATTTCCTGAGACAGGGATTGCATAATGCGTTGGGGGGAAAGCTTATAAAAACACTTAAAAAGTATAGATCAAGAACTAAAGGTGTCTCAAGGAGAAGGAGCAACCAAAAGCCTTCAGGAAGAGGGGACATCAGAAAGAACAGGGGACAAATGTATGGAACAGGCAAGGCTGGGGCTGCCCCCAGGGTGTAAGGATGCCCATTCTACGCTTACAAATGTGTGTCTGGATTCATCTATGGCTACAGGTATGTGCGGTCAAGGACGAAGCATGATGTGGACATGCGGATTGGAATCCACTCGGGGTCCGTGCTGTGCGGCGTGCTGGGCCTGAGGAAGTGGCAGTTTGATGTCTGGTCTTGGGATGTGGACATTGCAAACAAGCTAGAATCTGGAGGAATTCCTGGGTAAGACAAAGCAAAGCCTCTTCTCTTGCTTGTCATTTGCTAACTTTGTGACAGCAGGTGTCATGTGAGCAGAATCCAGAGACAGAAGTCAAAGAAGCAGTTATTTGGGCTGAGATCAGACACAGACACTGGCCCTTGAACAGCTAATGAATTGCACTCGAGGCAGAAAAGGATTATGGGACTGCATTGAGATGTTCAGGTTTCTACCCTGCCAAGCAGTGCTCCTCACACTTGGCTGCACAGATGAATAACAATAATAATTTAAGAATACCGGTGTCCAGACTCTGCAGCAGTTCATCGAAAGCCAAACCTGTGTAGAATCTATTTTTAAGTTCTTAAACCAATTCTAATGGGAAGCCAAGGTGAAGATCTATTGATCATCTATGTAAATACAACCATAGGCTCAACTTCAGAAATTCAGGGCTTTTCTTGAAAACTCATCTACATTCCTGCTTTGGCAGAAAAGATTGCTCAATGTGCAACCCGCAAAGAGGCTAGTGGCTCCATAGTATGAAGAGTGGAACTCACAAGACCTCAAAATATGTGTCAGGTAGTCAGTTGTACTGACTTGCTTCAGCCTGAGGCAGAAGGAAGGAAGGAAGGGAGGGAGGAAGGAAGGAAGGAAGGAAGGAAGGAAGGAAGGAAGGAAGGAAGGAAGGAAGGAAGGAAGGAAGGGAGGGAGGGAGAGAGGGAGGGAGGGAGGGAGGGAGGGAGGGAGGGAGGGAGAGAGGGAGGGAGGGAGAGAGGAAGGGAGGGGGAAGGGAAGAAAGAAAAAGAAAGGAGGGAAGGGAAGGGAAGAAAGGAAAGAGAGAAAGGGAGAATGAACCATGCGTGTATGCATACATTTATACGTGTATATACATATATTCTTGAGCTTTTGTTAAGTAAGATAATGCATACAGACTCCTTTGTCCTGTGCTCATTAGATATTAATCTCAATTTTAGCTGCAGAAGTTACCTTATGATTCAGTGGCAGAGTCTTAATTATTAAGCTGTTCTTGTGTTCAACTTGCACTGCTATCAAACTCTGACTAGCTTTAGGCTAGGTACATTCTCATTACTCCTGGACCAGTTCCATCATCTGAAAAAGTGCAAAAACAAGATAGAAAAAGAAATTCATAGCACTTAGGGCTATTGAAAAAATGGAAATTATATGGAAGTATCCATAGAGCCAAGCATACAGTTATATTTCTTGCTGCAAAATAACATTTATGCAAAGGAAGCATTATACAATTGTTAGCTCTTATTTACTGCCATGACTGTCATTATTATATCCTGGCATTTAAAAGCGATCAGAAAATGTCAGGCTTACCTGAGATTCAATATATGAGAATATTTGCTGAGAACTGATTCATTTCCTTAGAGGGAAATGCAATCACCAGACTCTCAGCTTTGCAAATGCCTGAACCCAAAGCTCAAGTTAGTAGCAGAGATGAAAAAAGAAACATCTGAGACACAGTTTCTATCAAAACATTTCAGTGTATATTGATTAAAACTTCAGCAGAAGAATCAGTAATGAGTGAAGGTGAAGATGTCTTTCAGTACTGAAAACATGATATTGATTTAGCATATGCAAGTACTAGTCCCTAAATATGTTATTATTCTATCCCTGACAGAATAATAAAATGTAAAATCCAGATAAATTTCCAAACAGATTGGATATTTAATTTGGTTATTTTTCAAGCAACTCACCCATCCAATTACATAACTGCTCTAGGAAATCTTTTTGCCTCGGCAAAAAGGCAGCCTTCCATTACCTTAAATGTGTTCTGGAGCTACAAAGGCAGGCTAGGATTCCATACTCGGGAAGGTCAAATGATTTGTGTTCTCCCAGACCAATATGACAGAGAGCCCATGTATTAGCAAAATACATTATGGAAATACTGTGTACTTATTTATCAAGAGAGCTCAAACATCTTTCAGACATTTTTAATACCTTGTAGTTAAAATCAGGTGATCAGGAAGATAGAGATGATGTATTCTAAGTAGACAGAAATCCATTGTTTGTAGTGTTTCGTCATGTTGCAATGAACTGTACTCTCTGTAGGCAAGAATTTAGCAGAGTGAACTAGACAAGTAAGAGGATGGGTAGGAATAAAACTAAAAGTGAAGTACATTGAAAATACTGCTCTTGAAACTAGAAAAATGAAACATTTCATTGGGCTTTTTTTCTGCGCATTATTTCCAGAATCACAAAATCCAACTAAGAATTAAATATCTAGCTTATTTATTCATCCACTCAAAGGAATACAAAGTTGGCTAGGGGAACTTTTGAGCTGAATCAGAGAATCAGACTCAGCTAGCGAACACACAATCATAGGCTGAACTGAAAGCAGCGCTAATTACTTGAATAGCTAAAAGAAAAGCATGGGGACCTGGGTAATTTATTATGTCCCAGTGCATTTTTTAATCTTTTACCATCCAGTGTGTTTACTTGTAGATTTATAGGCACATTTCTAGTTACCATAAATGAGGGGAAACATGCATCCTATGTTTCTTTGGGTCTGGCTTAATTTCACTTACTACAGTTTTTTTTCCAAGTCTATCCTTTTTTTTTTTTTTTTTTGTCGTTCATGGGACTTGAACTCTAGCCCTGTGTGCTGTCCCTCAGCTCTTCAGCTCAAGGCTAGCACTTTACCACTTGAGCCACAGCGCCACTTACAGTTTCCTGAGCAGTTGATTGGAGATAAGAGTCTCACGGACTTTTGTTCCTGGGCTGGCTTTGAACCACAATCCTCAGACCTCGGCCTCCTGAGTAGCTAGTATTACAGGAATGAGCCACCAGCGTCCAGCTCCATTTTCTTACAAATGGTATATTATCATTCTTTCTGATGGAGTAGAATGTCATTGTGTTTATATTCAGTACCACATTGTTTTTGATCCATGATAAATTGTACAGGTCTCTGGACATTCACACAGTAGGACCAAAGGAGGGTATACTTAGATATACAAGTGTATTATATATACCAAAGCTATGTGCATATATATTAGCTATACAAAGGATACATGCATATGATCATATAAAATAATATTTATCAAAATGAACTCCAGCAATGGGAACAAGGGTGTTTTTCCCCCTTGGTTACAGTTTTTGTTTACCTTGTCTTGTTTGTTCATTTATCTGTCTTTGGGAGGGTAAGGAGAGCACAGAAATGGTGTGACAAAGGGTGAACAAATGCCGCAGGGATACTCACTTGACACTGTTGAAAATGAACTGTACAACTTATGGAGGAAGAGATCGAGGGAACAGGTGACACTGTTCAAAAGAAATGTACTTATCACCTAACTTGTGTGACTGTAACCCCTCTGTACATCACCTTTACAAAAACAATAAAATACATATTTAAAAAAGGAAAGCATGGGGGACAGTAATGAAAGGTTGTCAGCTGAGCTTTGAAGTAATAATGTCAGAGAATGGACGCAGAGAAGGCACCATTCAGACATCCGCTGGTCTCATGGGATGTGGAGAGTATGCGAGCAAGAATCCATTGTCTATACCACAGAATTAAAGAATACAAAGGAAGGGGTGGGGTGAAGGTATTGAAGGGATGACACAGAGCCAGAGACATTGTACACATCAAAAAAGTACATCACTTAAAATTGATATGAGTAAGAGGGTGGTTGGGTCGGGAGAGGTGGGTGAGAATGCTAAAAGAAGTGACATCGATCAAGACGCACGGCATTAATAACCTGCTTTAGTGAATGGCAACTCCACAGCTACTTAAAGATAAGAAAAATAGTCAAAAGAAAAAAAAACCTAGGTGGTCTCCTGTGAGTCCTTCAGAAGATATGGAAAATACACAAATAGTGTGATTACAGTGGCATCTTTGAGAATACTCCTAATTAAGTATCTGCTTTTATAGCATGCACCATGTACTGTTTTAACTACTTCACAAAAATTCCCTCATCATACTTATGATAATTAACTTATGAGATAAGTATATTGTTTATACCACTTTCGTGGGTAAGAAAATGATCTCGGAAGCATTTGTCTGAAGACTTCTCAGCTAGCAAGTGGTAAAGCATGGATTTGAATCCAGGCAATCTAGCAATAAAGTCTGTGTTTATGAGCACCTTGCTCATCTTTCAAGGTCACAGCGGAATATCACAAATCCACTGGTTGAGTTAGGCAGTTAGGAAAACAGAAAACTCTTCTTCACATGGAACCTCTTGATTCCCACAAATCGTTTACTCCTTAAGGTATTTGTCATTCAAAACAAAAAGAAAACTTGAATGATGAGTTACTGTGGCAAACAAATGTACAGAAATGAACCATTTAACTTGTAAGTCTAGCCAGCTACCAGCATGGATGTGGTCCAAACTTGGTCCTTTACGTTTTTCAAGACACATAGGGGACATTTTATTTTACCAAGACTTTCCCAAAAGATCTTCAAGTATATTTTTGGGGACTTATAAAACTTAACATCATTCTTAAGATGATTGTAGGCCAGTTGCAGAAATTAGGTATATAGATATGAGCAGTGAGATGATAAAGCCCCAGAACTACAAGGCGTCTATTGGTGCATGATAGTTTGGCCAATCAGACATCACTTGTTCTAATATAATCAATACCCCTGGTGGGGTGGGAAATCAAGATCTTGTCCATTCTTTCTTTTTCTCCATTTGTATTAACATATATTAGTTTTACACAGGAGTTTCCCTTTGATGCTTTCTTATAGACAAGATTTTCTTAATTATGCTGATAGTCGTAAGAAAACTCAACAGCGTTGAGTTTTGGGTGTGATCAGTAGGACTGACTAGGGAATGCAGCGGCTCCTGCGGTAGTCAGTGTCATCTGGCTCATGGATTTATGCCTGTACGTCCTTATTGTTTGAATCTTTATCTGTTAGGGTGGGGATGGTGGTGCACATGCACGTGGTCCTTGAGGACATATCTTTAACAGTAAGCCCATGTGCGGCCCTGATGCTGGCTTTGCACAGACAAGAAGCATCATGTGATAGATAACACAGGTTCTGTATATACGCAGGAGGATTCACATTTCCAAAGCCACGCTGGACTGCCTCAATGGTGACTATAACGTGGAAGAGGGCCATGGCAAAGAGAGGAATGAATTCCTGAGGAAGCATAACATAGAGACCTATTTGATTAAGCAGCCTGAAGAGAGTTTGCTGTCCCTGCCTGAAGACATTGTCAAGGAATCAGTGAGCTCCGCAGACCGGAGCAACAGTGGGGCAACATTCACCGAAGGATCCTGGAGTCCTGAACTTCCCTTTGATAACATAGTGGGGAAACAGAATGTAAGTCCTCTCTCCCTTCCTCTTTTCCTTCCTCAGCAAATGAATGCCTGAGTGTACCTGCAACCAGACATCACAAAGAAAGCCCATTGGTCTTTAACCTTTTCTCCACTGAGCACTCTAATTGCAAGTGATTAAGCAATCCCTTGGGGAACGAATTAACCTATGTACATAATTTCAGGAAATGGCAGAAATGCCATAAGGTTTTTTTTTCATCCTCTTCCTTTTCTTTTCTCCTTTCTTGAGCTAAAATTTACATGTCCTGAAGAGCTGAATTATAACTTTTATCAAAAATATCACTCATATTGGAAAAGGTAAGCCTGATGTTATTAAACTAAGGGAGGAGGTCGAGAGCAGGAGAATATCTGGTTTGCGGGCAGCTGTCACTCAGCAATCGTGATTCCCTCCACAAGACAAAATCAAGAAGTTGCTATTGATTTGGGAACAGAAAAGCAACACCAGGTGATACTCAAAGTAAGAGCAAGTAGGTGCAACAGTGATATGCAATTGCAAAGCCACCCACTGCAAGAGGTACATCTTGAGATTTACATTTTGTATGAAGCACGGTCTGTGACGTTCATACATAAGAAATAATTGACGAATAACCAAAATTATTTCTATTATTTCATCGAATATCAGAATCATTTTATACCCAATGATAATGCTTTGATTCTGAGAAGCCCCAGAAAATGAAAGCTCTACAGGGTCATGTCCACGTTCAGAAAATCTGCAGTGTGTCTTCCCTTCCACCCTTTAAACAGAGCACATATAGTTGAATTTGTGTTATCCGCCGTGTGGCTCTAGTGTACTTTTTCAATGGACTAATGGGAAAAGCCAATATATGAGAGTTGCTGATGTGCTCCCAAGCCAAACAGAAGGGAAAGAACTATGAAGTAACAGAACAGACCGATAGCACTTGGAATTTCATGGAGACATTGAAGGCTAGATGCATTTATGTCCACAGACCAGAACATTTCTCATTGATGTATAGATAAGAAACATCTGTTTGCTTAAAGACCTTTAAAGCGGAAAAGGTTAAAAGGCTGGAAGTCTCTCTCTTCAGCGTCTGAAAGATGTGTGAAGCATTCTGAGCTTTTCTGTAATTTCCTTCCTGTTTTCTGGATTTCACTAGAAAGCCCGCAAGTAGAATCTAGTTCTACATGCCTTGGAAAAGACTGCTCTTTTCTGAGTGTTCAATTTTCATTTAAAAAAAATATTATTCCCATGCAAGTCATCATCAGTTTCAAAGCAAACTTCTTTCCATTCCTGAATTGTTGTGCATGGTAGTTTGCTCTTTTATAAACAATGGTCACATGCCAGGAGGAGTGGGTGTGTGGGCAACTGACATGGTCCTCTCTGCTGCTTCGGCCTATTTTTAGCTTGAGTCTGAAGGCTGGTTGTTTAGTGAGAAGGAGCTACATGCTTCCATCGGAATACCTCAGTCTTTTTGCATGGTTTTCTCTTTCTTGACTCTTGGTATTTTATTCTTATTTTCCATTTTGGAAAAGTCTCTCCACTTAAGCTGGTCTAGATGACTGAAATTATTCTTATGATTCTAATCTCACTTGCTTCTAATAATTGAGAACCAAGAATAAAGATACAGCTACTCCATTTCATTTCATAATTACTTCATCAAGTAAAACTTTGCAAGAATAATTGAAGTATTTCCTTGTCTGTTTCCTAAAGATGTTTGCTGGTGTCATCAAATGGTTATTCTAGAAGATGGTTTATTAACCAAAGCTCATTGTTCTTGGGGTCTAACTATATCATGTATTTCTTACAATGCCTGAGCTGTGGCTAAATATAATAGTCTGTGATGTCTTCTGCATGAACAGCCTCAATTCATTATGGCTTTTTGGACTTTAGAGCTAGTGAATGTGTGCTGACATTCATAAATAACCTTATAATTGAACCAATTAAAATGATCACAGCCACTTAGAGTTTATATTTGTGCTTAGCTCCAAAAGTCAGTAAACCGTGGGCACAATTCTGATACATGACATACTCTTTGCTGGGCCTATGTGGTGCTAAAACTCTCCAGTGAATTTATTCCATCCAAGCCCAGGCCTTCTGAATGTTTGTATCCAATACATTAAAATATACTAACCCTTAACTGTTAATTTTCCAGCTACACTGGCCATATGTTCTGTCTCCTATTTTTTTACATTGTGTGCTATGAAATATTTTTAATTACAGCGCATTGCATGGGTCACATTCTGTGCCATGTGTACAACAGATGTGCAGATAGAGACATTCCTCACTCATGCACTAGAGATTAACCAAGCATCTATTTAATGCCAACTACAAGGGGGGAGAAGGAGAGGAGAGAGGGAAGTGGAGAGGAAGGAAGAAGAGAGTAATGAAACATTTAGAGTTAAGGTCAGCCAGTGTGTTACACACCTCATGAATTATCCTGTTCAACCCATAGTTACAATAATATCTGGTTTGACTGAACTTCCTTGAATGAATTAATGAAATAATAGAGGAGAGTGGCCCAGGAAGCATACTAGTGAGGCTTCATCTCTGGGATTTTTACATGAGTGGCTGGATGATGGATGGATCTGCAAATTAAAATAAGCAATACTGCAAGAGGAGACTGACTGACAAGGGGAGACAAGGAATTCTGTTTAGGACCCACTGCCTTCTGAGAAATTGGGGAGGATGAGTCTGAAGGTGGCTGCATGAATGCTTCTGAAAGCTGAGAAGTAAGGACCTGACAGGGTCATTGTCATTTGAGTGCTAACAGAAGGCAGGAGAGAGACAGAAATCACCACAGGAGATATGTGAAACTCACAAATGAGAAGACACAGAGGAGAAGACCACCAAATGGAAGAGGCAAGGAGCCATGGATGCGTGGCAGGGAGAAGCAGTGGGTAGAAGAGAATGAGGGAGTGTGACATCTCAGGCGGGAGGGACATTTTGAGAATGGGGGATCATCAGCAAAGTCAAGTGCAGCCACGAGGCCTGGGAAGTTGAAGACTTAAAACTACCAATCAGAATCATTTGAAGCACACCACTGGCCCGAAGAAGATTTGGTAACACGGTGAAGTCAGAAGCTAGTTTGCCAGGGTGGATAAGATTAAGCTCTGAGATTCCAAGAACTCCAACACTAGGTGGATGGTAAATCATGAGTAGGGAATAAAGGGACATTAGAAAAGCCCAAAGCAGGGAGGAACTAAACCTGTAAACCTTGTGGAACCTTGTGTTTCGTTTCAAGGGGAATGACAGAAAGGTTTTAAGCAGGGTAGTGACATGATCTGATTCAGAGTTTTAGGTTACTTTGTCTGCTTTCTGGAGAATGGATTGTGGGAGACAAAAGTGGACTCATCAGACAAAACACTTCTAAGACTCATGATTTATCAGAGGGTACCCATGGGTGAGACTTTTACATAGCTCTATAATCTACATGAATGATACTAACCATTTTAACTAGATAGTTATGTTGGGTGAGATCCCAGGAGAGACGCATGTAGGCATTCTGAATCCTGTGTGCTGTCTCCATATTTCATGGAACCATCATCTTGCCACATCCGTTCTTCCCACATGTCTGAGAAGAGCCTAGACATCTGTCTGTTACTGTTCCTGAGCTTGTAAAGAAAAAGTTACACAGAGAAAACTACACACCCCTTACCTCCATGTACATTTTCATCAGCTCTACTCAACAGAAGGACTTACTTAGGTAACTTGAACTTAATAGGATCACCATGAATATCACAAGCACAAATGGGCTTCCTACATCCCACACAATGAATAGGAAGCAAATATGTTTCATTGCCTGGAACACTGGTAAAAATCCAGGATTGATCCAAGGATATCTTGAAAGATCTTTAAAAGGGAGGGGGATGTTTCAGCCCAGAGTTTCAGGATGAAGGAAGCTAGGAATGAGGGAAGAAAACTAGAAATGTCTTAGTCTGACACAGTACTACTCAAGACCAAAATGTAGACTTCTCTGTCTAACCACGGCTTAACCTGAACCTTCCACACACATCCATGCATGCAGAAAAATTATTTAGACAGCTAATGAGATCTAATATCTTATAGTGGATATTGGTTGCCTACACAAAAAATATCTGAAACATCCAGATGTTTGGATGTTGGTCTAAAAAGGCACTGTGTATTTTCAGAGTTTACTGTTTCTGTGATAAATGATTAAATATCTAATTGTGTATCTTCAGTCTCAGGATGCAGAAATTTAGAGGCAAATATTTCTCCATAGGTAATTTGTTTTTAATGACTGTAACATTGGATCATGGGATGAGACATCTGCAGGCTTACGGTTGAGAACACGAAAGGCTTTGGGAATTTCCCTGCAGTCAGTCTGTTCTCTTCTGGTGTCATAACTTTGTCTGACGATACAACTCCCTAGGCTCTTTTAGCCCTGACTCTGAGGATAGCTGCTGAGTTCATCTGGAGAGACTCATTAGAGGAGTCTGGTTTTTCATGCCTTTCACACAGGCAAGTGGATCTGAAGCTTTCTAAGGAACATTGAGTAGATTAAGCAGGCAATTTGACCCATTAACTTTGACTAATTATCCTGCTTTTGGCAAGATTCCTGGAATAAATGGAGGTGGAAAAGATAAAGGGAAATATGAGTAGGTATCTCCCTTAGAATCGTACTTCTTAAACTTCTTTTTTTAAGTCATTGTGCAAAGGAGATGCCATTTTGTTGGTGGTGGTGGTGGTGGTTGTGGGGCTTGAACTCTGGGCCTGGGCACTGTCCTTCAACTCTTCAGCTCAAGGCTAGCGCTCTAACACTTGAGCCACAGCACCACTTTCAGTTTTCTGAGTGGTTTATTGCAGATCAGAGTCTCTCGGGCTTTCCTGCCCAGGCTGACTTTGAACCGAGAGCCTCAGATCTCAGCCTCCTGAATAGCCAGGATTATAGGTGTGAGCCACCGGTGCCTGGCTAGGAGATGCCATTTAACAAAGCAGTTTGTGAATACAATATATCTTGATCAATGCCACCCGTTCAACATTCTCACCCATCCTTCCCCTCACGACCC